TTCAGTAAAAACACTTTCAGCAGATGAATAGCATTACAGAGAGAAGATCGTTTTAATGTACAGAAATAGTGAACTACAGACGAGAGAAATCAATGGGAAAGGTGCATTGTGTAAAGGTGCTGTCTTATACTGTGTGAAATAAGCCTGCAGTGATGTGAGACGAGGTCATCGGCTGCGTGCTCGTTATGTAAATGTGTAATTGTGTTCAGTGTAGAGTTCAGCTTCAGTGCGTCATGATGAACGCTCGCTCGGTGAAGGGTTAGTAACTGTTCAGACTCATTATTCAAGCGAGCACAAACACATCTCATTTACAAAATGTAAGTTAGATTATTATAGTGCCACCCAGTTCATCCAGCTCTATAAAACCACATACAGGGTGAATTCAGGTTAATTGGGACATTTGTTTCCCCAGTCATCTCAAATGGCAAAAAGACTCCCAATTTACCTGAATTCACCCCTGTGTAAAAAAGAAAAGTATAATAACACATCCCAGTTCTTGGATCCAGTATGCACAAAATGTGGATTCTCCTGACAGGAACTTGATTGGTTTGGCAGATATGAGCCAATGAGAAGTTTGGGTGTGGTTCATATTAGCTAATAGAACACACACTTTTTCACAATTATTTGTTACATTCATTTTCCCAGTAAGGGTTTAAACAAAATATTCAGAGTTCTAAACCATGAACCAAATTTGAAAAAAAAAAAAATGATGAAAACTGCAAAGACAAAGGTAAAGCTGAGGTAAAAGACTTAAACTACTCATCCTGTGAAGCTTTGTGAATGTGAATACATTTTTTAAAATAATTTTTTACTAAATGCATTTGGGTCATTCCATGTCAAATCAACCATATTTCAGAAACTTTCCCAGCTCAATTTTTTTATTTTGTCAATATTTTTTTTCTGAAGAAAGAAAAACATAAATATCTCATGGATGCATATTTGAGTAAATAAATTGATCCACTATTTTGTAGAGGGGGGCGTCAAAATGACCTTAATAAATCAATGACCTTTTCACCTAAGATTCGGAGCTGGGTTACAGATGACTTCAGAAAGATGGCAGCATCATGATCTTATGTTTACACAGAGATCGGTAGCTCTAGTAAAATCTGTTGACTTTAGCAATCTTTGCTGAATTATATGCCAGTGGTGACCGTTCAAAAATGGGAAAAGGCACTTTTCAGGTTTTCTTTCTTCAAAGTTTGCAGGCCTGTAACTCAAGTAGTATTGAAGATCTCTTGATGCCTTTTTAGATTTTCGGTCTTAAACTTTTTTTTTTGGTATCTTTTTTTCTTTTAAAGAGGAATGTCTGAAGAACAAATAATGTTGAAACTAGAAATGTGTCACACCTGCCCGAGTGCCATAAATATAATTTTTTCAATATTACTTTGCCTGTACCTCAATATTATTTTAGATTCTCATTTTTAAGGCCCTGTATGGTTCAGTCCCAGAGACGTGGGGAGCACAATGCCACTCAATGTCCAATTTGTTGAATATTACCCATTTTCAATGGTTTAAAACCAAATGTTTGCTGCTTCTTTATTAGTCAATCTAATATTTCTTCTTGATTTATGTATATTTTCCCCAGAAAAAAATCTTAACATAATCAAAAATTTCAGCTAAGGACCTTGAGCTGGTTGGGTTGACACAGAATGACCCATAAGTGTTCAAAAGTTTGGGTCTAGTAAGTTTATTTATTTATTTATTACTATTTTTTTTAATAATACTCGAATGCAGCAAGGATGCATTGAAGACATGCACAGTATTTTCATTGATAAAAATGGCAGTAATCACAGGAATAAATTACATTTCAAAATATATTACAATAGAGAATATTTATTTTAATACTATTCTAATATTTCAAAATATTTCTAATTTTACTGTATTTTTGATCAAGTAAATGCAGCCTTGGTGGGCCTTCTTTCAAAAAGTACCCCAACCTTTTAAATGGAAGCGTATATAAAAGTATCCAATACATACAAATATGTACATTGTTTGTGAATGTAATCTTCATGAAGGTGATCTGTAATTGCAGAGCTCTTTTGGTGCAGTTTTGGTTGCAATTTTTCAGAGTTAGGGGGCGCTATAATAAAAAAACCTCACAAACGTGGTAAAGGAAGTTGAATTTTGCCACTGCGGGACAACATAGCTTGTCAGTTGTGGTTGTTTTCTCCAATTATGTCCTCATTAAATAATTTGTGACTACATTAGCATAATTGTGATTACATTTCAACGTGAGATGATTGTGTGGAACGTGTGCCTTTTTTAAAGGGGTCCTATTATGCTTTTTAACTTTTTCAACTTTAGTTAGTCTGTAATGTTGCTGTTTGAGCATAAAAAAGATCTGCAAAGTTACAAAGTTCCAGACTGGGGAGAGAGGGGTTGTAATAATGTAAAATATGTGAAAAATTATGTTTTTTGAACAACCTAGTACGAGAGCCTGTTCTAGTACACCACCAAAACAAAATCAAGACTTTTTAAAAGAGCATAATAGGACCCCTTTAAAAAAAAAAGCTCCAAGATGAATCATCTGCTGCAGAACTCTTATACAAGACTTGAGTTTCGATTTAAGCAACCAAGAAAAGATAGGTCTAATTAACCTAAAAGCTATTCATTTGATGTTATGCTAATTCTAGAGGCTCGTTCCAGTAATGCCATGACTGTGCAAGTAAACACTTACAAAGCTACAAGTAGCCTAAAATTAGCAAGAGCTGTCCAATACCTGAACACATAACAAACACAGACACACGAGCAAGCATAGCAAAAGTCTCAAACAGAGGGAACTTTATTATTGTAGTTCATGATTTTCTGACATCAAGAGCGCTTCACTATGAACGGTTGCTGGTGTGTCAGTGACAGTGCAGTTACTCAACAGAGCCGTGTAATCATCCACATGTCACTCCAAATCCAGAGGCAGATGTTTGACACTGTACAATTTCACAGCTGTCCGATCTGAACAGTAAAACAAACTCCAACATTAGCTCTCTTTGCATAGTTCAACCTCAAACGAAACCATGAACTACAAAAACAACACTTTCAAAACAAGTTTTGAATATACTTGAAATATACCCGAACCTATTGATGCTTTGCGTGTTTTTCAGTCAATATTAGGTCTCATCAGGAGTTAAATAATGTGTGTAAATAATGCAATGAATGTACTTTCATATCCAGTCTGTGGAGTGTTGTGTTAACGTTTTCATCCCAAAGGAACATTCTGTTCACAGTCACAACATCAAGAATAGGAACCAGCCAGCATTCAATATATTAATCGTACGAATCAAGTATGCAAAATATGTAACTTTAAAGTCAGTTTTTTCCCCACACTCTGTTCCAAACAATTCACATGTTGAATTAATATTAAGTACATTTAAATAAAAACTTCAGGATCACATTCACATTTACTAGAAATGGTCTCCAAATCAGTCTAATTTGATATATTTTCAAATGGTGCTTGTTGGTGAATGTTATGAAGACTATGTGTAGGTCATATTTCACCTCAAAAACAGAACAGAAAAAAAAGCAATATTCTTAATAATATTATTCTTAACGTTCTTAATGGACTTAATTGTAATAACAAAAAAATGTTCCTTAATAGTCCTAAAAATATGCTCAATTTTCTGCAAATTATAATTTATTTTTAGTTTAATTTAATTCAGGGTTTAAATGTGAAAAAGACATTTCTCAACCATTTTCCAAACCAGCGTTGGCAATGCACATGTGGCTGTTTGCTTCACATTTGATCCTTTTCTGTGCTAATGAAGAGGCCTAAAACTAATCAGAGTTGTTTTCAAGCAGGTGTTGTGGTAAATGCATCACTCCCTCCAAATAACTCCGCTGTATTTCTCATTGGGGTGAATCCTTATTGTTCATCTGCACACATTTCAATGATAATTGTAGTCCAGTAATTAATTTGCACAGATAAATTCAGGAGAAACTCGCAGAGGGCCATTAACAAGAGTGAACGCTCCTACAAAACCAGACATTTAACCCAAAAGCTTTTGCAATTTTCTGGCCCATCCACAAAAACAGGACACTATGGGTGTGATGAAGCAGAAAAGATGTGAATACATTTCTCTTTCGCTTGCTGTGGCTTCAATAGACTCACTCCATGTGAGTTCATCATCTATTTCAGATGAATACCCATACAAGAGTTTATTGACCCATTAAACCACTGGGATTGGAAAAGAACAGCCAAACTCCTGTTTGTATGGAAGCCTGTTTCTGCCACTAACGCTAAAAAAAATGTGTTTAAACTTTTTATCTCACAATTCAGACATTTTCTCAGAATTATGATATCAACTCACATTTGTGAGAAATAAAGTCAGAATTGCAAAATATAAACTCACAATTCTGACTTTTCTTGCAAGTTGAACTTTTTTTTTTTTTTTTTACAATTGCGAGTTTATATCTTACATTTCTGATTTCTTGTCTCAGAATTGTTAGATATAAACTTGCAATTGCAAGTTATTCTGACAAAAAAGTATTTTTTTACAAAACATTCTTAAAAAAAAAAAGTCAGAATTAAACTTGCAGTTGCAAAATAAAAAGTCAGAATTGCGAGATAAAGTCACAATTACCTTTTTCATTGTTATTCATTGGCATAAACAGGCTTCCACATGTTTGAGAGGCTCAGGTAGCATGATATTCACTGGCTGCAATATAATAAAACGCACAATCGTTCTACAGTACGAAACTCCTGCTGTCATGGTTCTGAAGTGCGGTCGGCCTCAGGATGGATGTCGTGTGTTTTCCAAAGATATTCATCCTGTTCTCCAGAAGCTCAGTGGGTTGCTTCCACCATGTCGACCTTCCAAGGTCCACCCCAGCCCCTGAAGACCCACTTCTCAAAGAAAAGGAGTCGAGACTCTCAGTATCTCCTGCGCTTCGCATCCCGACAGCTTCTTCAAAGCTCTGTCCCATCCGGACCTTTGTTCTCTTTGTTGCCCCTCCATATCAAATGATAAACAAACTGGGAACTGGGAAAGAGCATCCTGAAAAGACGTCAGCGGCGTCTCTCACTGCGAGGATTCGCTGTGGCTCTTCTTCTCGGCGTTCCTGAAGACCTGTTCGTACGAGGGCGGCGGATGATTGCAGTAGGAGGGCGGTGGCGGGTACGAGCTCATCATGTGTGCTGGGGTCGTCTGACCCGGGGTCAGGGCCGTCGTCATGGCACCGCAGGGGTCACCGTAGCCTTGCATGCCTGGCTGCTGGGAGACTGTTGGAGAAACAATGAATGAAATCATGTCAAGGTTTATTGATGTATAAAATGTCAACATGCTGTTACTGGAATACTGCTGGGCTGCTGGGAAGTTGATATAACTCCTACTAAATTACGAAAACAATTTAGACGCCCCCCCTCACTGTCTTTGTTCCTGAACTACCAACCTCCACCCAGTGCTATTTTAGTATAAATGATGCTATTATACTTTTTAATTTTATATTTTGTTTTCGTTTAATTTTAAAGTTTTAGTAATTTGTTGTGTTTTTAGTATTTTTTTATATGTGACCCTGGAGCACAAAACCAGTCATAAGGGTCAATTTTGTGAAATTGAGATTTGTACATCTTCTGAAAGCTGAATAAATAATCTTTCCATTGATGTATGGTTTGTTAGGATCGGACAATATTTGGTCGAGATACAACTATTTGAAAATCTGGAATCTGAGGGTGCAAAAAAATCTAAATATTGAGAAAATCATCTTTAAATTTGTTCAAATGAAGTTCTTAGCGATGCATATTACTAATCAAAAATTAAGTTTTGATATATTTACAGTAGGAAATTTACAGAATATCTTCATGGAACATGATCTTTACTTAATATCCTAATGATTTTTGGCATAAAAGAAAAATGGATAATTTTGATCCATACAATGTATTGTTGTCTATTGCTACAAATATACCTGTGCTGCTTATGACTGCTTTTGTGCTCCAGGGTCACATATACAGTTTTTCTATTTCTATATAGTTTTATAAATTTCTATTTTAGTTCTAGCTGTATTTATTTTAATAGACGTTAAACAAACATGACTCTGCCTCAGCTTGTTTATCTAGTTTTTACTAAAAGATGGCATGCACGCTGACAGGTTGCTTGTGAGGTTCCTCGTTTGTAAATTGCTTTGGATAAAAGCATCTGCAAAATTAATTATAAATATATGTTTTAAATATTTTTAATATGCATCACAGTTCAAAGGTTTGGGGTTGTTAAGTTGTCGTTTTTTTTTTTTTAAGTCTCTTTTGTTCACCAAGGCTGCATTTATTTTATCAAAAAATATAAACAGTAATATTGTGAAATATTATTACAACTACCCTAGTTTTATTATAGACTTTCTTTTACTTCTGTGACAGATTTTTGAGTATGTCTGTATTTTCATAGTCCGTCTTGATAAAGATGATGGCTTGTGCTAGTCTAATGTATGTCTAATGTGTAAAGCGTCTCAAAGGAGGAGAAACTACAATAATCTGACATCAGTGTTTAACCAGATACAACTCACTCCTGTGTGCTGGAGCAATAGAGGTAAAGGCTTCTGTACCATTGTAGAGCACCCCCTTTCTTATTTAATGGCAGATTTACAGAGAACTTTTTAGAGCTTTATATTATGTTTTCAAATGCAATATATCATACAGATTAAGTGCAACTGCAAGAAACTAGACCTCCAGCAGTTCTGGGGACTCTGATTCAGTCTCATATTGATGCCAGTTAGGTTTTGTTTTCTTCTTAAAATGGAGCACAATTAAAGCACTTTGTTTTTCAGTTTCACTATCTACTGTAAGATAAATGAGAGGGAGCTTCTTATTTTTCATGTTAATTTGTCCTCTGAACAAAACTATTTAAGAAATAAAAACCAAGCAATTCCAGTCTTCTTCAGATTCTCAATTTTCCACTCAAGCAGCAAATATAATGCCTCGCTTCATTTTCCCTAAATACAGAGTTTAGAGAGCCAAACTAAAGTAATCTATTTTCCTATGTTTTAGTGGTTGGAAACAGTTTATTATGAAACTATATAATTGTACAGCAATGTTTTGAAATATATAATCGGTTCACCTCTTTGCTTTCAATAAGCAACAGGATTGAATTTGTATGAAGACTGAAGTCATCTGTAAACTATGTACATTATTTAACATGCTGTCTGATAATTTTGACTTATTCCTCATGTAAAAATGTATGCAAATTACACATTCATAATAAAAGCCTAGCAGGAAAGTGTGCAACGACGCAAATAAACTTTTAAATGTGCAGCTGTCACACTGTTTACATTGATTACGAAACTCTCAATCTTGAGCGCAAATAGAGAAAAACTATTTATTTTGAATTGCGTGGAAAAACAGTATGTTCTAAAGTATGTCTAAAAGTATGTGCCAGGCATATCTACAAACTTACTGAAAATAACCAAAACAATCCAATTATTTAGCATAGTGGCTGGATTAACAAATAACCAGACGCCACCCAATCTAAATATTCCCTGACAGTTTAGTAGTAATGAGTTGACTTTATGAATTTCTTCACTGATAAAAGAGATAGCATCAGAAATACAATAACAAATGTAGATTCTACAGTGTATAATACTTCAGCGTTGCAACGACTTCATAAAAAGCACTAGATAATAAATGTGAAATCACAAACTTTATTATTAAAGCTTTAACTCTATCAAAGCAGCCAACTATAACCTGGCTACTTTCACTTGGTATCCATGCCACATCACAGCTCAAGTACCAAGTATGAGCTTGGCATTTCTGCTTTTGACTCTGACGCTTGTCTTCTAGGGTTCTGTGCATTACTGTTAGCTGGTTTTGCAAACTGAGAAAATAACCCTGATTATTCCTTTAAAGATCCAAATTACACCCTTATTTTGCTGCCAACCAAAGCAACAATTGATATGATGAAGTGTGACGCACCGAATGCATGAAAACATCGAGCAGCACCATGCACCAGCTTACAAAATAGGTTGTCGGAAACACTGTTCACTCTATCTATTGAGAACAGCAGGGCGTTGCTGGCCATATGTTGGCAACGTATCTGCTCACACACCAGAATGGCTCATTTGCAATTTTCTGCTGGTTTGGCACAGAGATGGGAAATAAGTCTGTGGTGAAGTGCCAACCTTGGCTCCAAGCGAGAGCTGACTAATAATAACTGCCTGTTACCGACTGTAATAGTGAGCAAGAATTCGATTAAAGGACAAATTGTGAGATGAGGGACATATTTTATAGCAGCAGCAGCAGCATCATAATCAGGGAGAGGTGTGTCCTGTCACAGCTTCCCAATACAACAGCAGGCTCCGTTCCAAACCTACTGATCTGTTTACACACTCATCTGAAACACTCTACCATATGTAGCAATAAGAATTAATGATTTAAAAAAACAACACTCCTCCACAAGACTCCAAAAACACTCACAGAGGCTGCAGTTAGCAAAAAATAAAAAATACAGTGTGCGCAAAAGCTGGGCAAAATGTTTTAATATTTTTAAATCAATTATGTAGTCAACATCTTAATTTAGCATTCACAGTTTGGGTTGTTAAGTTTTTTTTAAATAAACGAATACTTTTATTGATCAAGGATGTACTAAATTGATCAAAAGTGCCAGTAAAGACATTTATAATGTTCCAAAAGATTTCTATTTCTATTCTTTCGAACTTTCTACTCATCTGTGAATCCTGAAAAATGAAATGTATCACGGTTTCCACAAAAATATTGTGCAGCACAACTGTTTTCAACATTGATAATAATCAGAAATGTTTCTTGAGCAGCAAATCAGCATATTAGAATGATTTCTGAAGATCATGTGACACTGAAGACTGGAGTAATGATGCTGAAAATACAGCTGCGCATCACAGAAATAAATTACAGTTTAACACATATTCACATAGAAGACAGCTGTTTTACATTGTAATAATATTTCACAATTTTTGTACTGTATTTTTGATCAAATAAATGCCGCCTTGGTGAGCAGAAGATAATTTTATCAACCCCAAACTTCTGTACAGTAATCTTCAATTTAGGTTGTGCTTATTTTCGTTGTCTACTAGAATAGTCAATGTGCACCTTATTTACTGTCTTAATAGAAGTTCCTGCTCTTATTGTGTATGATTGATAAGTTCACATTTAATGAAGAAAGAAATATTAATCTTGTAGTCTTTCATCTGTAATGTAATAACTTGCTTCTCCTCAGAAATGACTTTCCTTTCGCCTGCTCGAGTTTAACAAGCGCCTGCCTGCTGTTTCAAGAGGAAATCGCACCGCAATCGATTGCAAACTCTAGAATCTAACTTTCCCACTTTTCACAATGCAATCAATTCCTACTGGACATAATGAAGTGCCACACTACATTCTTCTCCTGGGATCTCCTGTACTGCTGTAAACATATCACATTATGGTAGTAAAATGAGCTGCAGTGCTGTTTCCTTTCTATCTGAAGCAGTGGTTCAGTGGACAGAGGATAAGAGTATGTCCTGATATCATTTCTCCTCTTAGCCCTACTCTTCCTTGACTGCATTATGAATAAAGATGGCACAAGATCTGCATAATGCAGTTCCAGTCTAGGCAGGACGCTCAGTGGATTTTGGTACAGGGCCTGTTTTTTTCTTTTTTATCTCAAGCGCCATGTTTGAACTGTGTTTCATGTGCAAGACGCTGCAAAAGACGCGATGCAATGGTGAAACGTCCATAAAATGCATTTTTACACAGAAAAGCAATAAAATACTGTGCAGATCCAGTACTGTATGTCTGATATCTGATGTTTGCGTGACACTGACATCTGTTTTGCATGAAAGCTGCTGCTGTTTTCATTCTCTGTTAATAATCACTGCTGCTGCTCTTATATTTTGTATATCACTGAACTGCTGATATTACACTTTTATATACATCTTATACTGCTTTTTATACTTTATACTTTGAATTGACTTTTTAATTTGATCCCTATAACTGAATGCCTACGTTTTGGCTAAAAAATATGACTCTGGAGCACAAAAGCAGTCTTAAGTCGCTGGGGAATATTTGTAGCAATAGCCAACAATACATTGTATGGCTCAAAATGATTGATTTCTCTGTTATGCCAAAAATCATTGGGATATTAAGTAAAGACCATGTTCCATGAAGATATTTCATAAATTTCCTACCATAAATATATCAAAACTTTATTTTTGATTAGTAATATGCATTGCTAAGAACTTAATTTGGACAACTTTAAAGATGATTTTCTCAATATTTAGATTTTTTTTGCAGCCTCAGATTCCAGATTTTAAAATAGTTGTATCTCAACCAAATATTGTCCCTTATGACTGGTTTTGTGGCCCAGGGTCACAAATGGTATTTATATTATTTATGAACATATAGGATATGTTTGAGACAAGTTTGTACAATATTTGCCTTAATATTTCATGCATCTTTTCTGCAAACATATTTAACAAGTAATTTGTTTTACGTTTACAGTGTGTTGAACTTCACGTGTTCTGCACTTGGAACAGAACTTTCTTTATTCAGATGGTTTTGTAAGTTTTTAATAAATTTGTTACTTGAATCATGTTAAAATTACGATAAGAGGACTACTTAAACCTTAAAAAAAGAAGAACAACAAAAAAACATCAAAATCATGATCTTGAATCGGTCAAATCTTCTGGAAAAAGAAGAAGAAAAAAAGACAATATTTTTTGCCATATACACTTAGGCTTTGGATGATGGTGATGATGGTGTGATGGTGATGATGTTATGATGGTGTGATGGTGATGATGTTGTGATGGCGATGATGGTGTGATGGTGATGTTATGATGGTGTGATGGTGATGTTATGATGGTGATGATGTTGTGATGGTGATGGTGTGATGGAAATGATGGTGTGATGGTGATGCTGTGATGGTAATGATGGTGATGATTGTGTGATGGTGATGTTATGATGGTGATGATGTTGTGATGGTGATGGTGTGATGGAAATGATGGTGTGATGGTGATGCTGTGATGGTAATGATGGTGATGATTGTGTGATGGTGATGTTATGATGGTGATGATGGTGATGATGTTGTGATGGTGATGTTATGATGGTG